AAGCAGCTTTCGCATACATCAGCAGGCAGCAAGAGGAATCGGCACCAGTAGACTTTTTCATTTTCAACGTTGGCGCAACATCGTCGCCTCAAAAGAGGAATAAAGCTTACGCAAAAATCAGTCAAAGACTTTAAACAGTGGTAATATAAGTTAAATCTTTTATATACAGTACTGTATTAGTTTTTAGTCATTAAAATAACCACAGTTATCTGCTGTTACGGTTTTTTCTTGTTAACCGAGTTTTTTCCGTATCCGAGGTAGTCACGGTCCCAATTATATCGGATAATCGCGAGTCTACTGTACTTCGGTTGTGTAGTACGGTCTTTTCAACAAAGCAGCTCCTTTTCTGTAAAAGAAAATGCTACAAACTAGATACTATTTGCTGAAGCAATAGCATTTACTACGTTTTATGCATTCCACCCAATGACAAAAGAGGAAATAAGAGAACAAACAAATGAAATAAATATACATATATAATATATATTTTATATACCTATATATCGGAAGGAAATTCCGCAAGTTTTGTACTCATTGCAATCAGTACGTGTGGATTAAAACCTTATCTGATAAATGCGATAAATTATTTTATATTTAAAATAAATGCCAAGGTTTCTGTGTTGCTTTTATGTATCTTAATTAATTTTTGGAACAGCGGTCTTTAAGGAACTGTATTATCAACTTTCATTAATCAGAGACGATTTTACATAACCAACCATTCACTAATCTTACACAAACACTATATGTGATTATACATACATAAAAACTATATCTTCTGAATATAAGACAAATAATAGAAAAATCTAGGGAATTCAATAGCCCACCAGTCAAATGGCAACATTTATGGCAGATAATAAAGGAAGTAGGCGTACCACAACACTTAATTTCGCTTATAACTGAACTATACGAACACACTACTGGAACAGTTAAAGTGCTTGACACACTCTCAACCGAATTGTATCCAGAACAAGGTGTCAGACAAGGATCTATACTGTCTCCACAATTATTTAATATATGGAAAGGGCATCTCAATAAATGGCCGAAAAATAAACAACGTGCGTTTTGCAAATAGACTAGAAGAGTTAACTGATCTCATACGACTGGTTGAAAACGAAATTCAAATATTTGGTCTGCAGCTAAACATATCAAAGACAAAGATCATGATAGTTGATAGACTACATAACAATCATCCAACATAACCACCATTAACCGATTTGAGGTTGTGATTTCATACTAATATCTGGGATCATTGATCACAAACACACGGTCACTACAGACACAAATAAAACGTAGATGTCGTTTCACTAGCAAGAGTCACCGTAGGAAAGATAGCCAAAATATGGAAGGGCGCTCAAATTTCACGAACACTAAAAATGAGGTTGATCAACTGCGTAATATTCCCAATACTGACGGATGTAAATCTTGGATCCTACGACAAACCAAAATAAGAAAGATAGACGCCACTAAAATGTTCTGTTGGAGAAGAATGTTAGGAATTTCCTGGACCGACCACAGAACAAATAATTCAATTTTAAATGAGCCAAAGGTCAGCAAACGGCTCTCCGCAAAGGTCATCTTTAACAATTAAAATACTTTGGAGATGTTATGAGAGCAGACACAGAAAACATGGAAATACTTATTATCCAAGGAAAGATAGAAGGCCCAAGATCACGAGGAAGATCCCCAACAAGATTCTTCTTCTTCTTCGAGTGCCGTCTCCCTACGGAGGTTGGCAATCATAATGGCTATTTTTATTTTAGAACTTGCTGCTCTAAACAAATCAATCGATCTACATTGATACCAATCACGTAGATTCTTTAACCATGAGTTCTGCCTTCGGCCAACAGATCTTCTTCCTTGAATCTTTCTCAAAATTTCAAATTTTGATCCCCTCATCACGTGGCCTAGGTATTCCAGGATCGACTAAATTACAGGAATATGACCCATAGGAAGGTGGAAAAGAGGACGACCCCGAAGATCCTGGAGGAACGAAGTAGACGACGCCATGAGTAAGAGAGGCCTAAACGATGGAGAATGGGACAACAGAGAGAGATGGAAACGGTTGAGCGAGGGAAGGCAGTGAATACTGTAGAATCCCTGAATATATGTATATATATATATATATATATATATATATATATATATATTTGATGATATTTTCCAACGGCTATTGCAAAAGACATACAGAAAAGACAAAATAACATTTTACTTCAATGTGAAACCTTTAAACCAATTGGGCTACTATTTATAGCTACAAAAATTTTAATAGAAACTATCTAATAACAACTTTAGTGTTATGTCCTTGTTAAATTATTCATTATAAAGGAAGAAGTATGCAGACGACCAGCTGACTGGCCCTTCAATCACCAAAGAGGAGATAGAAAAGGCAATATTAATTTCAAAAAACAATAAGGCACTGAACCAGATGAAATCCTGTCAGAAATACTCAAATTACTGGATGAAGGGGAATTCAGCACTACACAAAATATTTAACTTAATTTATGAAACTGGCTGCTATCCTCAACAGTGGTTACACTCTACCTTTATTCCCCTGCCAAGACAGTCAATGCAAAAAGATGTGAGGATCACAGACTCATTAGCCTGATGAATCACACTTTAAAAATATTCTTAAAAATACTACATCAAAGATTATACAAAAAATGTGAATGGGACATCAGTGACTCCCAGTTCGGGTTTAGGCAAGGTTTAGGAACACGAGAAGCAATAGTAGCAACACAGGTGCTGGTCCAAAATTGTTACGATCAGAAGAAGGATGTGTTCCTATGCTTTTTGGATTACCAAAAAGCGATTGATCGTGTCCAACACCACAAGTTAATGCGGATCCTCAAGAAAGTTGATATAGACAAAAAAGACATAAGATGCATTGAAAACTTGTACTGGCATCAAACGGCACAGTTAAAAATAGACAATTCTATATCCAAACCCATACATATAAGAAGGGGCGTTCGACAGGGATGTGTGCTTTCCCCTCTTTTATTTAACATTTATTCGGAAGCCATATTTCAAGAGTCTTTGGAGGATGCAAAGATGGGAATCAAAGTGAATGGAGTATTGATCAACAACATACGATATGCTGATGATGGTGTCTTAATTTGTGACAACATAGTCGATCTTCAACAACTTGTCACTATAATCGGAGAATACAGTAAGCGAATGGGATTAGAGATTAATACCAAAAAAAACACAAATTTATTGATCATCTCCAGATAACACTGAATACTAAGTCCATTGAAAGAGTGACTAAATTTAAATACCTGGGATCGTGGCTTTTTGAAGACTGGGCATCGGACAGGAAAGTAAAATGTCGCATTGAGCAAGCTCGACAAGCTTTCGTAAAATTCAAGAAGGTACTGACTTGTTCAGAGTTCGATCTTCAACTGAGACTAAGGTTTACTAAGTGCTACGTGTGGTCAGTGCTGCTATATGGCGTAGAGGGCTGGGCACTCAAAACTAGGGATATAAACAGATTAGAAGCTTTCGAAATGTAGCTCTATCGCCGTATTCTAAAAATACCATGGACAGCGAAAATCACAAATATAGATGTCCTTAAAAGAATAAACCAAGAACGCCAACTTTTCGAAACCATCAAGAAAAGGAAAACGGCGTATCTAGGTCACATCATGCGAAATAAAAAATACCAGTTCCTCCAACTTATAATCGAGGGTAAAATTTAAGGCAAGAGAGGAATGGGACGCAAGAAAATGTCCTGGCTCCGAAACATAAGGCAATGGACAGGGATTAACGACATACAATCTCTGATACATATTGCAAGAAATAGAGAATTAATGCAAAATGTGATCGCTAACATCCATTAGTGGATTTGCATCTGAAGACGAAGAAACGCAACAACTAGTTAGAGTGGGTGATCATCAAAGAAAGAAACTGTTTACTACGCTTTTCGGAATATATATAATATATATATATATTATAGATAATATATAACTGTAAATGTAAAAATGTAAAAAGGAAAACTGACCGACAAGGGCATAAAGATAAATGGAAAAAAGCTTAGCCACCTGAGGTTTGCAGATGATATTGTGCTTATAGCTGATAGGACGAGACCAAAGAACTTTTAAATCAACTCTACCTTTCTTCCCTAGAAGCGGGATTGAAAAAAAATATATCTAAAACCTAGATGATGACAAATATTGTAGTCAGCGAAAATAAATGTGTAGGAATAAGATCCATAGACAAGGTAATGGCCTATAAATACCTAGGTCACGAGAATCGCATAGGAAACGATAACCAAACCGTTGAGCTTCCCCTTCGTATAAAACTGACTTGGGTAGTCTTCGACAAGTTGAGCCACATTTTCAAATCTTCCGACATACCAATATGTATTAAAAGAAAAACCTTGAATCAGTGTGTTTTGCCAGTGTTACTTACGAAGCGAACACGTTAACTATGACAAGAAGAACAGTGAAAAAGATCCGTGTGGTTCAAAGGGCGATGGAGCGTGCTATGTTGGGCGTTTTAATACGAGACAGGATCCCAAACCGCCAGCTACGACGAAGACCAGGAGTGGCTAATGCTGTAGAAAGAATAGCAACAATGACGTGGAACTGGGCAGGTCACGTGGTTCGAATAACAGATGAACAAAGCGGATACTGGAATGAAGACCAAGAGATAATTCCTACCGAAGTATAGATCGTTCACAAACACATTATACTGACGATCTAAAACGTTGCCATGGTAATTTGATGCAAGAGGCGCATGATCTAACAGATGGAAAATTATGAGCGAGATCTATGTCCAGCAGTGGACAAGCTAATATTTAATAATGACTCTCGACGTGCAAAAGGGTTCATATTGGACAAAGTAAGCCATAGTGGACACCAGTAAATTACGAAATATGTCAATTTCATTTAGATCGTTCACCAAAATACGTAACTGTATTAACGATATTGTTGCGTTAGCTTACAGATAATAAAATCTTTTATATAGTCAAGAGAATCATTAAAAATGATCTGTGAAAAACTTACCTCATAGAATTCGTAACCCCTGGGGTAATAAGAACTGCCAATTGCTGTTTGGTACCAACTTGCTTCAAAGAGTGAGCCAAGACAAGGGATCCCAACGAATAGGAATCATTCGTCGCTAACGTCACCCAAGCATAGCCTAGAAAAAAAAAACGTTGAAGATAATATTTCAAGTAAAAAATGGAAAATAAGGCATAATCTTATTGCGTGCATTTGTCTTTATTGAGCACTTAATACTACGAAAGTTAATCAAATAGAAATAAAAAATATCTCGTTTGATATAAGCAGTGTATTAGGACTGTTAGTAATCTAGGATTATCCTTTTAAGTGTTGCAGTATGCAAGGAGGAAGATTACGTGAAATTAATAAACTCATGAGGCTCTATTTACAGAATAATGATAACACGTAATTGGTTTTTATTATTATTACAAATTTTATCATATCCAATCATCATAACTAAACAGGTAAATTCTCTTGTGAGAATTCCATTGGCAACTATGACGAAAACCGAAAATGAAAGAAACCGAAACCTAATCGGGGTAACACAACAAAAATACTTAGATGTAACAGACTGTAATTAAAAAAATATATATGAAATGTAAAAAATCTGAAGCAGATGTTTCCTCAGATAATGACTCTTTTTTCTCGAAGCCGCCTGTTATAAATCGGTCGTTCTGGAGCCATTTGGCGTATTGCACATCTTCTTTTATTCATGATACCCATTCCAGACTCTAAATAAGCTGGTATAAATCTAGCAAATGGGTACCATTAGGTTTTTGAAGGCACTTGGTAGTCTAGTGCCTCGCATTCATGCAAGATGTGGTTGACTGTTTCAAGTTCTCTGCTACAGAATCTACAGCTCTATGAAACAGTCCAATTTTATGTAGGTGTGACTTCACTTACATATGCACAGTACGAAAGCCATACGATTCTGACCTGATTTCTGCTTGTTTTTCGCAGTACCTACAAGTGTGTCCATCCAATACACATTTTACCATGTGTTTATCCGGGTTTACTATCGAAGAGTGAGTAAGGTTGTATTCGGACGTAGGCTATGTTCTGGTCGTCGAGAGTGTTTTTTGGTACTCTGGACCGAAGTATTTTGTAGCTCCCTCCAGCAGTCTATCGAGTTTTTCTCAGCAATCCCATAGGAGAAGAGTCGCCTAAAACGGGGACGCAGGGTAATATGGGGTAATAAGGGTACTCAAAACGGGGACGTTCCCATTTTAACCTACGGAATATTTTAATGCCGATTAAGTAATTGTACTAGGTACTTAGGTAGAACTACTTTTGACAAATTATTTAAATATAAAGGTATTATTGAAAAAAGTCTCGAGTCTATACAAAAATTACTAGGATAAGCATTTATGCATTGAATTATCTAAATAATTATGTTTTTTTAAGATTTCAACTGGGTCGTTATACAAGAAAAAGCGACAGACAGAGTTGGTCCAAGGAAAGTATAATGGCCGCCATTCAAGAAGTTTTAGAATGCAACATGGGTTACAGAAAAGCATCGAAGCTGTGCGCTATTCCACAAACTACTTTGGAGCGCAAAGTAAAAGAAGCTCGAGAAAAAGGATTGAGTTCGAAAGAAGCTGCAGAAAAAAGATTGGGTAGATTTAAGACTATGGATAAAGATTGTTTGGCCTTAGCTTTAACAGATTTAAGAAAACTAGCTTTTGATTTAGCCGTTAAAAATCACATTCCATACGTGTATAATGAAAATAAGAAAATGGCTGGTAAACATTGGCTTTATGGCTTTCTAAGGCGGCACCCCCAATTAGCATTACGTAATCCTGAAAAAACTTCACTGGCAAGAGCAAAAGGTTTTAATCGAGAAGCAGTACAGAAATTCTTTGATGGTGCCCCACTAGGGTCATCTGCAGTGCATTATGAGACTGGTTGGATTACCGAAGAAAACTTTATCTTATGGTTTAAAAAGTTTATTGAGTTTTCTAATCCCGGATCTCAAAAACCAGTGCTGCTTATTCTTGATAGTCACAGTTCCCAACTCCTTCATCTTGCTAGAGAAAATAACGTTGTATTATGTTTTCCACCACACACCACACATCAATTACAACCGCTCGATGTCTCATTTATGGCACCACTTAGTACATTTTAAGCACAAAAGGTTAAAAAATGGATGCTTAATCACCCTGACAGGGAACAAGAGGAAAGGTAAAACTGTCATATTAACATCGTCATCATACAAGGATGAACTAGAAGAACGAAGAATAGGAGCGCCAAACAAGAAGGTAAGCACAAAAAATACCTTTTCAACAAAAATTAAAAATCTGCGACTTCCAGTGATAATCTATTAAAGAAAAGAAAGACTAGAGAACCAGTCCTGCTACTGCCCAAGAAAATGAAACAAAACAATGGTTTGTCTATTCAAAATATGCGTAAAAATAAAAAGTGTCAGGCTGAAGATTATGATATGTCCTCTAATGAAAACGAGGAAGAAGAGAAGAAGAAGAATCCGTGCAGTGATGAAGAAAAAGGAAGAGGAAGAAAGCTGGACCAACGGCAAAGCTAAGAGTGAATGATGCTGAAAGGTGAAGCTACAAAAGTGGGTCAGACTGTATGAGTTAGACTGTGGGGAAGGACGAAATGCCCGTCTGGGAATGATGCCGAACTAGGAGCGATGAGAGTCTTCTACGCGCTACCTGGAACGAGACAGGGAGCCTCCTTGCTGATGAATAGAGTGTGGATGTGTATGAATGAATACAGGTAGTGCTTCGGAAGTGATGCCGCCCTTACAGCGGCCATTCCGCTTCCGGATCGCTGGATGACAGAGGAGGGTCTGGTTTAGCAGGTAGGCGTTCGGCGTAGACTCGGCGACGAGAGGGCATTTTAAAGTACCTCGGAAACTATCGCCGGAAGTACGAAGAACGAATCCTGCTCTAAGGGTAGTCAGGCGGCGTCCTTGACTGAGATGTCTTTTGAAGATTCCAGAGCCCCAGAGGATTACGTTATAACCGTATTGGTTATAACGTAATCCATCAAACCCCCAAACTCGTCTACCCATTTTCTAGCAGCGAAAAAACTAAGCTTTTATTCAAGCCGAACAGCTTTAAATACGAATATTACATCAGGAACATTTCATTTGTCTAAAAAATATCGAATGTGGCACTTTTTTGACACAGTGTGTATTTTAACAATTTTTATGTTTATTTTCTGTTATTGTATGTAAATGTTCGAAATTATATGTATATTCGCATATTTGCTTAAGTTCTGATTGCTTTTGTAACGCTATTAAAAATTGGGTAATAGATAATTTGAATACTACTACAGTCACCATAATATAGGCGAATTGACTTTATTTGAAGTGTTGTCTTAAAAATTAAATTAATAAACTTGAAACCAACACCAGATGGCCTTTAAAACTAATCACAAAGATAAAAATGTAATATTTTCGGTAACCGTCATTTTAAAAATACCGTCGCATTAAAATCATTGAATTAAAATTTATTTTTGGCTACTGCGTGTTTCTATGTATTTATAGTTTGCTATTATATCTAAACCATTATAAATTGCTCCTACACTTGAAAAAGTATTGGACACACTAAATTATTAGTAATGCAGATGACAAAATAGCAACTGAAAGGACCATTTCGTTTTTAAATTATTTACTCCACATAACTGTTTATTTATAATCCGAATGTGGCAGGTGCGAACTATCTGCCTTCATCTCATTATTATTCGCTTAAGATCAAAATTTATTAAAGTACAGTATTTATAAAGATATATAACGGCTAATGTTATTGTCACGACTGTTAAACTGCTGATAATGTACTTAAAAATATTCTTCTAGAGAGATTTTGTCTCTAGGATCTTTTTTTCAAAAAAAAAGGAAAAAATTCAAAAGGCAATAAAGCAATAAAACCCATGTTGGGGTCACGTAATTGGAAAACTGCTCACTGAAAAAAAGAAACTATAGAAAAAATGGTTAAACCACAAAATGGAAAAAAAAGTACAGAGAATACAAAGAAATCAGAAAAACGTCCAGCTAACGGTAGCTAATTCAATAGTTTTTATATATAAAAAAACTTACAATGAAATAAAAACTTCTTTTTGTAAAATGTTATGAAAAAAAGGGGGAACATATGCACTAGTACCAAGAATGTTGGTTTAAAAACTTCTATAAAATATCTATGAACTAGAAAAGGACTTACGATCATTAAGTAAAAAGATGTAAGTATACAGGGTGTTTCAAAAAGGTATGTCATAAATTAAATCACGCATTCCGGGGACAAAAATAAATTGATTGAATCCGACTTACCTTAGTACAAAATTGTACACAAAAAAAGTTACAACCCTTTGAAGTTACAAAATAAAAATTGTTTTTTTGCATTATCTCCTAAACTACTTGACATTTTGTAATAAAAATGGACACGTTACTTTCTTGTTCTGAAAGAATTTTTCATAAAAAAAAACAACAAAATCTAAGCGCACAAAAAAATTTTAAGGGGGTGTGCAGCTCTAAATCCTTCCAAACTTTTGAGTACGTTCAAATCAAATGAATTTTGTGGCATCATTAGTTTAACACATTACTTTTAAAAAAATTTTTGCCTCATCACTTTTTTCAAAAAACAGTTCTTATTGAGTTACGGCCCTTTTCATTAACCTTTAAAAAATTACGTGCAACTGAATAAATGGCTTAAACGAATTAACAAGTACAAAAAATGTCTATAACCTCTATAAATATGATATTACAATATATGTTTAAAATGACAGCCATTTTCTTCAATACACATTCGGTATCGTTTTAATAAGGAAAACCGAATGCGCTGAAAAATCATATTTTTCTGACGGAATTGATTTCCAGCTTCAATTATTCTAACCCTCAATTATTGTTCGTCCTCTATTGTTACAGAATACACTTTCTCTTTTATAAACACCCAAAAAGCAAAAGTCCACAGGGTTAAGACCTGGACTTCTGGGTGGCCAAGAAATAGGTGCGTCACGACCCCTTCCTATCCACCGACCAGAGTACTGCCTGCAAAGGTATTCCAGGACTTCATTACTGTAATGCGGTGGAGCGCTAAGTAGAAAGGAATACAATAGAAGGAATAAGACTAAAAAGTTAAGATGGAAAACGGTTAAAAGAGTGTCAGGACTTAAAAAGATTAAAGA